GGAGAGGGAGAGAGAATGCCATGGGAAGTCATAGCATCAAGAAGAGTCATGGTGTCAGTAAGAGTTGTAATAAATAGAACAATGGTCAGTGTAAGAAAGTGATCTTGGTGGACATCAATATTAATGATCCAAATAGTACATATCTGAACTCGACTGAGGCAGGGAATCAGGAAGGAGATTAGACTGAGGTGAGTGCACACAACGTGACCACAAAAACTATAAAGAGTCTTGCACACCTTGTGACCTGGGGGGACTGTATTAAAGTTCCCTTCTGAAAAAGAACTGCCATGTCACTGGATGACTGTTGTTGAACTGCCATCTGAGTGCACCCAACATGATGGGTAGGAGAACTCGAGGCCACATGGGGTAAAAGAGGAGATGATTTGGAGCACTGCGGCTATACTGTAGCCAGAAGTAGGTTCAATCGCAAAAAGTGGATCTGAGATCGATGTAGTAGCATGCTGACACCATCCTTGGACTCCTTCATTTAAATTGAATCAGATCCTCCAATGTGAAAGATTCAGAAGCTGCCCCCTCGCCCGGCTGAGCAGGCTCCATAGCCAGTGCTGAAAACAGTGGGGCTTCAGTGCCTTGACAGTCAATACCAATGGGGTTGAAAAAAGATAAAAAAGACTGGTAATCATTACCATTAGAATCTGCCTTGAGGGAGTTTTACAAACAAAAAGTGAAGCAGCATGAAGCAGCCAAGTCTGCCATGTGACATCTTAAAAGTACAACCGAAATTGTGTGATTTGCAGTTTTTCTGTACTACTCCTTCAGTGAAACAAGAAATATACTTAGCTTGTGTGTGGCTGACATGGCAGGCTTTGTGCTGTACTCAGTGTATTTAGGAACAAAGTACACAAATTGTTCCAACAGCGCCACTAGCATATTGGACAAAAGGGGGAAGTACAGTGGTGCCTCGCAAGACAAATTTGCAAGGAAGATGCTCTTGCTCATGTGTAGGCTGGAAATGGGAATAAAAGAGGGTGTGGCTGACATAATGAACAAGAGCACTCTACATTGTAGCATTTTCTTGTAGTCCTACTGGCAGAAATACAGTAGTAGAGTAGGGCCAGTGAATCAATGGGGATTTAGTGAATCAATACCTATGCCCATTGATTCAATGAGCCTAGTCTAGTTGAGACTTACTACTAGATTTCAGCCGTTTGTACTTACTATTCCTGTGTTATTCTGTCGACCAAGCATGTTCACAGGTGGCCTCTTGGACAGAATCGAGTTTTTGATGAAAGCAGGTAAAAGATCTTCTAGGTGGTCATCATCTGTGTCACGTGAACAGTTCTGAACAATTTTTAAAAAGGAATTTTGACAGTTAGACCTACAGTTATTATATTTCCAAACCTAAACTAGACTGGAATAGCTTAGTATTATGAAATAAGTCTACTCATTTTGTAAAAGGAAACAGAATTCTGTAAATATTTTGCAAATGCAGTTTCTTGTGATGTCCTCAGACAGAGGTGGCAGTTTTAAAAATGAGAAAGGAAAAGTTACTTCTAAGAAAAATAAATACAATGATGTGGTTTGAGCCATGACAATTATTTTTAAAAGTCATTTTCGACTCTGGTTTTAATGTTTTTCAGTCATTGGATCTGTTACTAGCATATGGATCAATACAGAACACCATAGAAAAACCTCAAAGAATTCACAACAGATGCCTAGTAGTGCTAACAGCTCTCAATATACTCTCAGAATCTGACTATGGCATTAATACACTAGCAGGGTTAAGGTTAACATAGCCTCTAAAGAAAGTGGGTTGGAGAGATTCCAGAAAGACTGTGAATACTACTTTACTTTTCAGTTACTATACCTCTACTGCACCATCCAGAAGTCTTGTTACATTTGGCATAGATGCCCTGGAAAATACACAATAAAATAGTTGTCATTCCACTTGTATTTTGGAGATGGCAATAACTGTTTCTACAAAATTGGTTAGCTTATTTCTTGAAACTGTTACCTGGATTCTAAATTTGCACCTAGAAGCATGTTATGAAGATATCACATGAGACTGGGATCTGATGAAGTGGGCTATAAACCAATAAAGTTTATGTCAAGGAAAACTTGCAAGTCTTTCAGGTGGCCTAATACTGTTTTTTCATCGTTACCCAATCCTGGACATTTTCACAGATGTATGGGCCCCTTAAGGCTCATTTAAATGTAAGTATTATTATAAGAAGAGGACGTGGGTGGTGCCATGGGTTAAACTGCTGAGCCACTGGGCTGTCGATCGAAAGATAGGAAGTTCGAGTCCACGTGATGGGGTGCGCTCCCATTGTTTTTCCCAGCTGCTGCCAACCTAGCAGTTTGAAAGCATGCAAATTTGAGTAGATGAGTAGGTACCACCTCGGTGGAAAGCGTTCCATGTCTAGTCATGCTGGACATGTGATGATGGAAAGTGCCTACAGACAAATGCCAGCTCTTTGGCTTACAAATGGGGATGAGCACTGGTCCCTAGAGATGGACACAACTGGACTTAATTGTCAGGGGGAATCTTTACCGTTACCTATTATTTTAAAACTCCCTCCTCCCATCTTTTCTCTGCTTCATTTGGGAGAATCAAAGGTTTCTTTCTTTCACCTTATTGCTAGCTCTTAGACATTTGTTGTGACCTTAGCCATAGTCTTTATACAAAGAAAGGGAAGACAGTTTGCTGTCCTCTGAAGATGCCGGCCACAGAGACTGGCGAAACGTTAGGAAAAACCACCTTCAGAACAAGGCCAAGAAGCCCGAAAAACCCACAACAACCAAAGGGAAGACAATTGATGACATTTGAGGAAATTATTGAAAAAAAGAGAAGCTGGAATTTAGTGAAAGTAGAAAGGATACCGTAAGTGTAATATACAAGATACTAAAAGCAGAATATTTTTTTAAAAAAAAAAACAGCTTTAGAAGTATGGCAAGAAGATTTAGCTATAGAAATTAAGGGGGGAAACTGGAATAAAATGTGGAACAGGATAATGAAAAATATATCTGTAAGGTTAAAAGAAAATTCTTACAAATTTGCATATTTAACACCTGTAAAAATGAATTTAATACAGTCAACCCTCAACTTACAAATAGCCCTAGTTATGAACATTTCAACTTACGAACAGCTCTGTTGGAAAAATTGGCATCAACTTGCGAACTGAGCCTCGACCTACAAACGAGGCTCTGTTCGCAAGTCGATGCCAACGGAGCGATTGGTGCCTTCAGAGCTCTCAAAGGGCTTCCTCCGATGTTGGGGGGAAAGCCGTTTGAGACCACCGAAGCCACAAAGCAAAAAAGGCAGGGAGAAAGCGCGGGAAGTTCGAACTTCCCACGTTTTCTCACTGCCTTTTTGGCTTCAGAGAGCTCCAAAGCCACCCATCGCGGTGGTGGGGACCCCCAGGAAGGTCTCCCAGGGCTTCTCTGCCACCATGGGAGACCTCCCTGGGGGTCCCTGCTGCCACAATCTGTGCCTTCGGAGGTTTCAAAGGGTTCCCCCCCGACATCGGAGGAAGCCATTTGAGAGCTCCTAAGGCAAAAAGGCAGGGTGAAAGGGCTGGAAATCTGAGGAAGCCTTCCCCCGGTAGGTCCAGTCTACTCCCCGGGAAAGCCTGAAGGCGTGGATAGCGGTGGCGGGGGACCCCCGGGAGGTCTCTGATGCCGGTGGAGAAGCCCTGGGAGCTTCCCCACCGCCATCGGAGACATCCCTCGGGTCCCCCGCTGCTGTGATTGGAGGAAGCACTCACCCAGCGCTGGGAGGCTAGAGCCAGTCGGGCGTCTGGCCGCTCGCCCCCGACCGCAGCAGAGGGGCGTCTGGAGGCTAGAGCCTCCTTTAAGCCTTTATCTAAGAAACATGGAGTGTTAAAGACTGTAAAGTATGTAAAAGATAAAATAGTGGGCTTTTATGAAGAAGAAACGGTATTTGATCAACTACTGTTAGGGAGAAGTGATAAAATAATCAAAAGAATGTATGAATATCTCCTAAATATGAAAATGGAAAATGAAGTGGTGAAAGACTGTATGATAAAATGGGCACAAAACATTGGTCAAAATATTGATTTAGAATAGTGGACACAAATTGGGCAGACTAATATTAAACTTACAAAATCAGATCATTTAAAAGAAAATATATACAGTATATGTTTTATAGATGGCATATGACTCCAGATAAACTGTCTAAAATGTATGAAAATATCTCCAACAAATGTTGGAAATGTAAAATGCAGGAGGGTTCTTTTTATCATATCCGGTAGACATGTAGGGAAGCAAAAAACTGTTGGAGATCAGTATATGAAATATTACAAAATTTTTTATCTTGTGTGATACCATTTAAACTGGAATTGTTCGTATTGAATATTATGGCTGAAATGGTAAATAAATGAGATATTTGATAATACATGTAATTGCTGCAGCAGGGATACTATATGGGAAACACTGGAAGAAAGAAGAAGTACTGTCTCTTGTGCAGTTGCCAGAAAAGATATGGGAAGTGGTGGAGATGGATGTACAGTGGTGCTCCGCATAGCGACGTTAATCCGTTCCAGGATTAACGTCGCTATACGGAAACATCGCTGAACGGAACAAAAAACCCCATAGGAACGAATTAAACCCTGTTTAATTCATTCCTAGGGGGCAAAAACTCACAGTTCAGCGAAGATCCTCCATAGAGCTGCCATTTTAGCCGCCTTGGTAAGCGAGGCGCGAAACGGGCAGCCATTTTGGAACCGCTGATCAGCTGGGCGGCGGGCTCAAGCGGCGGCGGCTGCAGGGTGGGGTGGGGTGTCCCGAAGGCTTCCACACACACCCTGCAGCCGCCGTTTGAAGCCGCCCCACACTGCCTACCCCAGCTGTTCTCAGACTTCCAGGCGTCCAAGCACGGCTGGGGTAGGCGGCGCGGGGCGGCTTCAAGCGGCTCCAATGTCGGAGGGGGGCCCTTTGAGAGCTCGGAAGGCAAATGTCGGCAGTGGCTTCGGGGTCCTTCCGAGGCCGGCGCCCACCGCCGACATTTTCCCCTAGCTGAGCGGCGGGGCTCCCGCTTAGCTGGGGGAAAATGCCCCTTCCGAAGGGGAATGCAGGCGGTGGATTCGGAAGGGTGGATTGGAAAGTATAGATAAAAGAAGAATGTGATGGTCCAAGAGAATGGAGAGATTAGTAACTATATACTCTGGTAAAAATTGCTACATGGTTTCTTTCGTGATTTTTCTTTTTAGCATACAGTGGTGCCTTGCTTAACGAGCGCCCCGTTTAACTAAGAATCCACATAACGATTAAGAATTTGCAATCGCTTTTGCGATCGCATAACGATGTTTTTAATGGCAAAAAATCGCTTTGCGATGATCGGTAAGCTGTTTCACTTACCGATTATCGCATAGCAATCTTTTTCCAACAGCTGATTGGCGGTTCCAAAATGGCAGCCGGGAAAAAAATTACCGCCCGCTGCATTTTCGCGTCCTTTCCTCGCTTACCGGGCAGCGAAAATGGTGGCCGGATGGAGGATTTTCGCATAAGGGTGAGTTTTAAGCCCACAGGAACGCATTAAATGGGTTTTAATGCGTTTCTATGGGCTTTTCCGTTCCATATAGCGACGATTCCACATAGCGACGATTTTTCCGGAACGGATTATCGTCGCTATGCGGGGCACCACTGTAATTGTGTAAGTGGATGTAAGTGTATTCTTTCCCTCTCTGGAATTTTACCCCTTCCCGACCCTTACCTATTCCCCATTCAAATTCCTATTCCCACTGAAAATGAACAAAATATTTTTTAAAAAAGAGAAAGTGAAAGGTTTTTCTCCTGGTGAATATTCATTGTATTTTTTTGAAAGAAACAAAATAAGTAAATAATATTATAAAAAAGATAAGTGACTAAGAGAAACACTCTTGAGGGGGAGCACAAGGTTATAGATATGTTATAATAGTGTGTAGTCTTTTTTCTTTCCTTTTTAATATATCTATATATCTTAAATACGTTTATTTTGTCTGTTATACAGTGGTCCCCAACGTTTCTTGAACTGTGGACCGGTTGGGGGTGGGCGGGGTCCATGTGCGTGGGGGCGTGGCACACTCACACACATGCACAGGTGAGTGCAAACTGTAAGTCAGTTTGTTTAACAAAAGAAATATGCAGTGTGGATTTCTGTCATTCTTATCCACGTCTTTCCCTTTATTGCATGTCATTTGGACTGAGCAGTCTAGGATCAAGAACTGCTCTTTTAGTGTTTACTGTACTGTATGTGTGTATTACATGTCATTAAGTCAGAACCAACTCTTAGCAACCCTAGTAAGACTTTCAAAATAAGTGAGTTTTTAAAGTGAGTGCATTCCCCCCTCCTCCCCAAGATGGTGGCTGGAGGTCAGAGGCAGATGAGCAGCCAGTTTGTTGTTTTCTTTGCTATTTCGTTGCTTAGGCACTTAGGCTGAATACCATCCAGAGCCCCTTGGATGGAGCTGCAGAGCCCATTTCTGGTGGTGGATTTTGAGCTCCGCTTCAGAATCATAGGGCTGTAACGACCATCAGATAGCCAAAGATAGATCTGTCCCACTCACTGCCCCCACGGGTTCCAGCACTGGCTCTTTCCCTGACTATCCAGCTCACTTGGCTGTGTGGGTCCTGGCTAGGATCAGATCAGAGCAGGGAGGTGGGAAGCCTGCAGTGTCAGTGAACTATTGGTGCTGTAAGCTGGTGCACCCCATTGCTGATCTCCCCATGCGCCATGCCCAACTGGGACCAACTGAGGCGTCTGCAGAGGGGCCGAGGTTGTCAGCAGAGCCAGGGAGTGAGTGGACGGCAACAGCGGCAGTGGCCACCCAATCTGCAAAACAGGTTATTCGAGAACAGCTGCTCCGAAGACTCCCGCCAGGATGGAGGATGTGCTGTCTCAAGCTAACACCAAGGGAGGATTAACCTACCTGGCTGATTTTCCCACGGGAAGGGACAAGAGACTCTTTGAATGGGGACGGATGATAGAGGGGGGCTGGTTTGAGAAAGGACTGTTGGACTGAGTTATATGTGGATTTTGAGAGGTTTGGGCTGTTACATACAGCACTGATGTTACCTGTCTGTCATGGGTTTGGAGGGAAAGTTCCATCCTATGGGGAGTGGAAGGCGGGACATCAGGAGGAGGGGCTGTACTGTATATATATGGGAAGCCTGTGTGGTGAAGTTCAGGAGACGCTGGGATGTGAAGAAGCAGCAGCTGGGAAGAAGAAGCTGGTGTGGGAGTCTGTGTGTCAGACAGGGTACTACTGTGTGTCAGAGTACCAACCTGATAGGTTCAGGTGTCTGCTGGTTAGCCAGAACTGATAGGTTCAGGGTCTGTGCTTCAAGTTAAGTGTTCTGTGTGAACCAAACTGTGTGCATGTATGAATGAGACTAAGCCACGTTACTATATCTTATTCACCTGATCATTTTATTTTCCCTGTGTGTTGTTTTAAATAAACCTTATTCTTTTATTGGTTGAAAATCTATCCCTGGTCTGTGTGACTTCTTATAGGGAATGGTTGGTGGCAGCTTAGTGAAACTGTGGCATATCTCAGTAGGTCTGGGTTTGTCACATGGGCAAAATGGAGTTGGAGTGTATGGTTGGAGGAAGAAAATTAGAAAGAATGGCAACATGGTGCCTGCTGGGACAGAAGGCATGACAGACTTGAGAGGTGTAAATGGTGATTGCGGAAGTATGGACAGTATGAACTGGACATTGATGGAACCTGTGAGACTCACCAGGGTGATCTGGATCATTATCCAAAGTTGGCATCTATGCAGGACAGCCACTGGGATCTATTGTCTTGGGGATAGATTTGCCTCAATCAACTTGCTCCAACTATGAAGACCTGGTTCTGGGTTGGTTTTGCTATAGTGCCAAATAAGTGATGTTGTGGTTTAGACTATTTTTCCTAGTTACTTATTTTACTTTTCCTCCCATTTAATTTATTTAATGTTACTTAATTTCACTTACTGTATTTAATTTCACTGTGTATTACTGTATTTTTGAGCATTTCTGTCTGTGTGTACATATGTATGTACATACATACATGTTTTGTGGTTTTTGGTCTTGCGTTGTTTCCTTTGTTTTGTTTATCTTTCTCCCCCCCCTTTTTTTTTTTACACGGTTGCTTATGTCTGGAGGGAGGAGATATACTGTACTGGCCCTGAATCACATTCCTGTAATCTCAGGTCAGGGAAGGTCTGCATCAACCGTTGTACAGTAATGCTCTCTACATGGGCTTCCCTTGGGTCTTACCCGGAGATTACAAAGGGTCTGGAACGCGGCAGCTAGACTGGTGTGAACAAATTTGACCACATCTCCTCAGTCTTGGCTCACCTGCACCAGTTACCTATTGCCTCCCGGATCATTCAAGGTTTTGACGTTTACCTATAAAGCCCTTCATGATTTGGGACACCTTTTCCTAAGGTCATCTGCCCAACCCACTAGGTCCTGCAAGGGAGGCCAAGAACTCTTCTATGAGAAGTAGGGCTTTCTTTATGGTGGCTCCAATGCTATAGAAGCAACTGACAGTGGAACTGCACCTGGCCCCCTCCCCCTCCTCTCCTTTAAAAGATAATTGAAAATACTGCGTCACAGAGAGGCCTTTTTTGGCAACCCTGCATGACCTTGCTGCTCCATATGGGTTATATGCCCATGACATATTTCATTTTTCCGTCACTTGATATGTTGATTGTTATTTTGCTGTTTGTAGTAAACCAACCAAAGCAGTGCTTTTGCAATAATGGGGCAGTATACAAACAAACAATAAATTTAACAGTCCTACCAATCCACCTGGTGAGTTTCCATGGCCAAGCAGGATTTAAACCCAGCTCCCCAGAGTCACAGTTCATCACTCTGTTCACTACACCACGCTCTCTCTCTCTCTCTCTCTCTTTAAGTTCTTAACTCAAATCTAAGTATGTAAGTCAAGTCAATATTTTCCTATGAGAGTGGTTCTTAAGTCAAAATGTTCTTAACTCGAGCCGTTCTTAAGTCAAGACCCCACTGTATGCCGCCCACACTACCCAAAGGTCTCTGGGTGGCTTACACTTAGAACCCATTTGATTCCTAGCAACTAATAATCTGAGGTACGTTAAAAATAACATGTTTTGCGAATTAGGAAGGAAGATGGGAAATCCTGCTTCTAGTGACAGTCTTTTGCAGTGACTAAAAGTGACATTTGAACTTGAAATGATTAATACAATGTTTAAAATGGTTTGCACCTCATACAGAAATAGGAATACCAGACAGACCAAAAGCACAGGTAAGGTCAACAAAAATAAATAAGCACAACTTACGGATTTTCATCTAGTCTGATTTTTTTGGCAGGAGCAAGGGCTGTCTTGCGAGGCTGATGTTTTGGTGTCTCCACATCAAAGGTAGCATTGAGGTCAATCTCATCGCTGTGCGCTGGTCGATGGAGCTTTGGGGTTAGCAGCTCTATGGGAGCAGGGCTTCAAGATCAAAAGACACACATACTAGGTAAGACAGAACTATACTGCATGGAGATGGTTAGACAGAAGTATCCATTTCCGTTTCCAGACTAGTCCACATCCTATACTGTACAGCAGAGATGGGGAATGTGTGAGTGTCCACAGGTTGTTTAATTTCAATTCCCATCATGCCTCACCATTGGGTTACAGTGGCTGAAACAAATGGAAACTACGGACCAAAGATCTCATGATCCCCTCATTCCTGCTGTCAAACCTAGATCTTAAGTTCCTATTAGCAATTATGGTAAAAGTAGATGGATTTATAAACTGAAAAAGTAAATTTATTTTAAAAAGCAAAAACAACACCTCTTCACTATCTAGCAACATGTGTTGAGAGTTTAAATTACTGAAATGATTACAGTCTTGATTAGGATCTTAGTCTTAATATTCTAATAAAACTGGCATGCAACAGAATGTCCTGCTTTCCTGTAGGAATTTTTTTTTTTTTACAGAAAGCCATTGACGCAATAGTACTGGGTATGGGTATATGTTAAATCTGCACGATTGTCCATTGGGTTGATATGGACAATGCTACAGTAAAGGATAAAATAAAAGAAATATGCATGCAAGTGATGAAAAAGGCTACTCTTCAAGAGCATATAGTACTGGACTAAACTGAGATATAGACTGAACCTGATTTTAAAAAGGCATTTTATGGGCTGGCAATAGACAGTCCTCTTGCTGTTTGTCTACACTGTATGCAAACCCTTCTGTTTCAAAGTCTAATGAATTCCCCCAAAGTACAGACAGGAATCATGTAGCCCAAAAGGGCACTTTGGCCCTGCTAGATCTTCCTGCCATTCTCTACCAAAACAAAAAACAAAATAATAATAATAAAAAAAAAACAAGGAAAAAAAAAAAGGAAATGCCTACTTTTAGAAAATTTATAGTAACATAAATTTTCTGCCTAAAAGGAGTACACCATTAAAAAGTTGACAATTTTTTTCTCTTTCTCTCCAAAAGTGGACTTCAGTAACTTCTGCTTTTTGAAAGCATTTTATAGGTTGGTGAAGCCCCTAGCCGGTACAGGAAACTGGCCTTCAGAAAAACAGACATCACCACCCTGGCTCTCAACCAACCTTTCCAAGACAAGCCGATTGAGTGTTTCACTGCTTGACGCTGGCACCTTTATGGTATCTTGCAGGACTTCTATCTTTTTTTTCAGACTCTTTGGGAAAGAAAAGATACAGAAATTAAAAAGGGGAAAAAAAACCCTAATAAAAACAAAGCCAACTCTGGTTGTTATGGGTTTTTCAGGCTGTTTGGCTGTGTTCTGGAAACAGCCCGAAAAACCCACAACCACTATCGGATCCTGACGTGAAAGCCTTCCAGAACATAAAGCCAACTTTTCTCAATTTTTACTTATGGAAAGGTAGGTAAATTAAACTCCCCCCTCCACCTCATGTAAAATATTTTAAAAAGTAACCTGGTTTCTATTCCCTGAAGGTATTAAGTCTGGCTGTGAGGATGGGGAAGTCAAAGGGCTGCCCATGGCCTGGATATAGACTCCAGCCTTCCTTGAACCCCGCCCCCAATTACACCTTCTTTCAAATGAAAATCAAAACTCCTAGAGGTGTTGTTTCCACCCTTAAGTAACTTTTTTAGACTGCAACTCCCAGAAATCCCCGGCTAGCACAGCTGGTGGTGAAGGTTTCTGGGAATTGTGGTCCAAGAACAGCTGGGTTACCCACGGTTAGGAACTAATGTTCTAGAGGCTTCTAATTGACACCACTTTCACTATACACCCCCTCCCCTTCCCTTGTTCTAGGCCTTAAAAGTCCCCCTTTTAAATAGACATGAATAGCTGATTACCTCCTGTTTCTTAAAAAATGGCGCTTGAGGGCTTAAAACAAGCCCTTAAGGGAGTGAGGTTCTGTGTATAGCCTAATTTGTGCCTGATTTTTGCTATGTGAAATGGGTAGAGGGCTAATGCAGACCTGCAGCCCTGAGGGAGGGTAAAGTGGCCCTGAATCCTTGAAAATTGCCTGTCCCTGCCACCAGGTAACATGATTGTCTCACCGTGATCTCTTTGTCTGCATTGCTCAGATCTGCATAGGTGTTTATCAATACCTCCTCCTTTTTCTCCAATTCTAGAAATAGCTTCTGTAGCTGTAGATTAAAAGATATAAATCAGAAGTCCCATATGCAACATTGGAAGTTTGCTGAACAAAATTATAAAGCACTAAAACATTTACAATGGGTTTATACACTTCTTACAAGGATATTTTGAATCTTTAAAAATTTAGCACAGAGGTAGGAACCATGAAGACCCCTCTTCTGCCGGTTCATTTCTGTTGTTTTCATCTAAAACATTTCATTTTGACCTTACAGAAAGAGAATTTGAGCCTTCAAGAGTCTACTGTAAAAAGAAGTATATCCTCCTCCATGTAGAAAAACATCAATTAACAACAAACAGTGCTGTTTTTTTTTAAACCAGAAGTGATCTCCTGGTTACTGTGCTTCATTAGGAGGGAAAGGTGTGGTAATGAGGGCCACTGAGGCTTGCTCATCCCTCTTTTTTCACATCATGACACTTAGTGAAAACAGGGATTTTGAATTAGGAAGGGTTTTGTTTTGAAAAATCTGTAAAGGCTTTTATTTTATGCCAAGTGATCTGCAGAGGGAGCTCTAAGGTGGCTCAAGAAATACAGTAGTTCCTTTCTTCAGATGTCAACGTGATGGGGACTAAGAGGTAATGCTAATGCATTAATTTACTCCACATTCCATGACAATCAATGATGTTTAATTTTTAATGTTATGCTTTTTATTTATAGTTCTATAAGGTGATATTTCTAATTTTAAATGATCTCATAGGGAATACTGATTATAAATTCTAATTTTATATTATGAGACCGAGTAGCCATATAATCTTTTTATAAATAGGGCTTTAATTTTAATTTATGAACTGAGGCTTTAATTTTAAGGAGTTCTATAGGTGTCTATATAAATCATTTGGTTAATTTTTCTACGTCTCCATGTATGCAGTCTAGAAGAAACAATCATAAAAATGTGTAGTTCACAAACTCAGTCTGTGTCTCTGGAGAGTCATACTGTCAACAGTAATATATGAAAATAAGAACCAAAGATCTTATCAGCCCTGTTTTTTAACTCTTACTGCTCCAACCTTGGAGGGTTTTTTTTTCTTTTCTTGACACAATATTGGCTGAAATACAGTAGTAAGCTGCAACTAGAGCATACCCACATAAAATCTGTAGGAATTTGGTGAGTGAGCACCCATGTAAATTCTATTGATCCAATGGGCCTACTCTAGTTGCAACTTATTACTAGATTGCAAGCATAATGTTGGAAATTGCTGGAAGGCTGATTAAAATCTGAAAGCCCATTTTCAACACTTACTTTGAGTGATGTAAATTCTTTTTGGGGTGATAAAGCTAAAAATTAACTTGATTCTAAAACATCAGGGAAAACAAAGCAAATGTTTAGCTACATTAAAAATTAAGGATCCCTAAATGTTTGTTAAATATTTTGTGTTTGAGTAAATAAAAACTCACAATAAAATGTTGTTTTTTTCAGTTAAATTAAATAATTCCAGTGTATGGTGATTGTGGTTGTCCTAACAGACAAATATCTGTTTCAATGAGTTTTGGGAACTAAAATAATCATTAATTTTCTCATTTAACTGCAAAACTCATCTGAAAGATTTTAAAAATAATCAGTTTTTAAAAAAATGTATAGACCCTCTGAAATTAAAACCTATACCTCCAAATTGTGAAGAATTTGTATTAAGGCAAAACTGCACATTTGGGAAAGGGGAAGAACATAAGCAAATCAAGTCTTTCTAAAAAAAATGGCTTAAATGTTATTAATTTTGAATTTTATTTTTTGATTAATTTAATTTATTATAGTTGTATTTTGATTTCTTTTGTTTTGCTGTTTTTAATTTATGAAGTTGTATTATTTTATTATTTTGATATTTTATGATTACTGATTGTGCTTTTGTTCTCTCACATACACCACTCAATGTGGCCTCTAGCCAGATGGAGCAGTGTAAAAGTGAAATAAATAAATATTATCAGTACTCTGATGTATCCAGAACAATTAAGTGTATGTATATAGCAAGAAAACACTAAAACACTAATTTTATTTATTTATTTATTTATTTATTTATTTATTTATTTATTTATTTATTTGATTGATTGATTGATTGACCCGCCCATCTGGTCTGGTCGACCACTAACTCTCAAAAAATAAATTCTGAAAGTTTACTTATTTTTCTATTTAAGGAAGGGTGCGTTTTTAACATTCTTTTCTACACTTTTAGGCAGAAATGGGAAACATTTTTCAGTCCAAGAGGCAAATTCAAGTTTGTGATTGATCTGAAAACTATATTCTAGTAGCAGGTGAAACTAAGGACATCGTTCAAGAACAGAATAGGCAGAGCCAAGCAAAGGGATCTGAGCAAGATATAATCCACCAAGCATATATTATATAGCACAGCTCACTTTTGTGCATGTCTACTCAGAAGCTCAGAGCAATTGCTGTCATACTTGCCTGGAAAGCACAGCTAGACTTGATGCAACAGTTTTCATTGTTTCTAAGCAGAGCTCAATTTTGTGCAGACAAAGTTTAGTAATTAATTATTTATATTATGTAATTAATATAAATATATATAATTAATATGATACATAGTATTCTACAGTACATCATAATATAGTAAAGATCATTAAAAGGATTTACATTGGTAATTTGGATTTAAATTGGTAAAGGATTTAAATTGGTAATTAGATAAAATAGCAGAAATTGCTTGCTAGCCAGATGGGGAACCTCTACAGTAGTGGTTCCCAAATTTGGGTTAACTCGGCTGTTCTTGGACTGCATCACCCAGAAACCCCGGCCAGCACAGCTAGTGGAGAAGGCTTCTGGGATTTGCAGTCCAACAACACCAGAGTTACAGAAGTTGGGAGTCACTGCTCTTCAAGTTGTGGATCCGAAGTTCTTCATCCCTGCCCTAAGGATTCCTTTACTAACAGTTCAAATTTTAGAACTTCTCTGATATTAATAAAGAAGAACAATAGAGACAGGCATGCATTTTGTTTAAATAAAGTAAGTCATCCTTTTGCAGTTTTACATCATGTAACATCTTGCTACAGTAATAGCTGTTTCTTGCTGCGGAAGAATCAGAAGAGTCAGTCAGAAGAGGGAGTATTACTTGGCTAAACATTCCGATTATGTATGCTCTAAAGATAGACAGAAAAACCTCGGAGAAACTGAAACTGATCTCAATTAACAGGGATCTAAAACCATGGCTAATGCAACTGTCCAGGCAAACAGAGATTTATTCACATAACTATACAAAGGTGGTTTATAAACAAACCCTCTGTAATGTATCTGCCGGCATATCTATTATCTATATACTGTTTACCTTGTGATTAGTAGAAAACAACTCCTTTCTCAATTTCTCCACTGTATCATTTGATGCTTTCTGAGACTCCTTCAGATTCTCATATTCCCTGGAAAGGGTCCAAATTGGTAATTAGAACATGCACAATCTGAGGAACACATTTCCAAGCAAGCAGTTCTAAGCTTAAGCCTGTAATCAGATTCAGACCAAAGATTTACAATTCACAGCTTTAAGGAGTTGCAAACGTTTCTGTTATATACACAAGCATTCTCAGGAGAAACACTGCTGAACAAGCCAACACTGCTTTGTATGGTGTTAAAACACTTGACAAACGACAGAGCAGGTGAAAAAATATGTTTTCTGGAGACAGCACACTTTTGTTTGGCACAGGTGCCAAAATTTCAGAGAAGTCTATGCCATATCAAAAAGCACAAGACATTAAACAATTTCAAATTTTCCTGCAGTGTTTCATATTCTCCTTACTGACATGAAATGCAACAAAATTGTTTCTTTAAGACGAAGGCTTTGTGCTGTAGCAGCGAAGACTGGGGAGCAAAGAGAAAAAATGACAGCAGTGACAACACCCTCACGATAATGGTGGCTGTCCTGGTTGGCTGCTGGGGTGCCCACAATGCAGCAGGGAAGAATCGGGCCTCCTCAGCGGTGAGTCACCTACTGAAGCACCAGCGTTGGCTCCTTCCTCAGCACACACAGCATGGGAGTTACTCAGATTTGGGAGCCCAAGATGTAATGTCATGGAGGTGGAGAGACTTGGGGGCCAGCACAGTAGGTGCTATGTGGTAACTTCAGGTAACAGTTTTGAACTTAGCAGTGTACCTCGCAACATGACCCTAGGTATGTCACAAAGGAAGGGCACTTTGCAGGAAGAGCAGTCAGCACAGCATGCACCATCCCCTACCGGAAACAAGATGGCATAAAGGAATGCAAAGGACAAAGGAAGAGTTGGCTCCAAGGCCAAGAGGATGAGGCTACCCTTTTCTGCTGGTCAGCTCCCAATGGGACAGCTAGAGACCAGCACTCGTGGTCCTCAGTTTAGTGGGACAGTCGTGGCCAAGACCAGCTTCTACAGGGCTGTCCAAAACTGTGAAGAATGTGGCTCATGTGGCTTCGGCTTGGAGTGCTAGCCGAGCAGAAATCCGAGTCTAAAGCAAGGGCTGGCAGGGGCTGGGGGGGGGGCGGAGATACAACCATCTGGCTTAAGCACAGCTAGGAGTCCCACAGATCCAGACGGGGGAACCCTGCCAAAAAGAAGTGACACACAGAGTGGTTCAAGCACAAGAGGGTATCTAGGGAGGGATACGGGACAGACAGCAACAAAAGCTCAGGGGAACCATCCTCAGAGAAGGGGCAGGAGTGCCCTGGAGGCTGCTGGATAATGGGAGCGTTGATTCTGTATCTTTGTGGATTTCATACTTACTTTGCTATGGCATATGGCTAATGCAAATAAACATTGATTTGAATTGAACTGGAGCACATTATTCTAATAAATGTTGATGTATTTTCATTGCTGTAACTGGAAGATGAGGAAGTCAGAAAGAAATAAAATGGAGGATAAAGTGGTGAAAAAAGATCATTGGCTGGAAAGCTTCATAGTACACAGGAATGATACTGTCTATGTATCTGAAGGGAGGAGGTATCTGTCCAATTAACCAGGACAAGGTGGTTCAGGACCCAGTCACTGGCTGCCACAGATGAGGAAAACAGCATTCCACCATGAGCTTGATCGGTTGAACTGCATTAACGAGAAACCGTGACTGGTAATGGTGGGCCTGTGTGTCCGTGTTAAACCTGAAAGGGAAGGAACCCAAATGACTGGGCAAGAAGGACTGTGCCTGCTGGGAATGTCTGGAATAAAATCAGGAAAGTACTTTAGTAAACTTGGGTACAATTGTGATAGTCATTAGGGGCCACACACAGGGTTGTCATGTTCCCAAAGCTGTGGCGATGAAAGGTACCAGGCCTCAGCCCAACTCCAGGGGAAGGAAGAAGGGGAGAGCTGAGGCGCTCACCGACATGAGCCCGGCCACGGCCAAATAAAGCCATCAGGCAGAGGTGTTGATCTTGGGGGTCTGCACGGACCTCGATTATATTCAGTGGACTTATACCCTCTGTTCAGCTGCTACTCTAAGAAGTGGCAGAATGATAACTTCTAAAAGGCTTCATGTGGGCTTAGTGTTTAACAGGCTTTAGTGACCCGAAGTATTATACATCTTGGTTATTGCAGTGAGATGCACCAAGGTTATTTCTTTAAGATTAAGGTTCTGAAATGTTTTATTACTATTATAAAACAGTGCTGAAGTTACTCATTACAATGTAGGCACTTCATGTTGTAGCTCATTATTAAAAGTCGTGATTACCTATTTGCTACCCAATGCTGCCTGCACAAGCTCTGAATTATACAGGGTATAAACAGAAAGACCCCTAATATACACCATAGGGACCAACAGCTACACCATATTTATTACCACAGCTGCATAAAGCACTCTGTTTTGTATAGGAGAGATATTCAAGGGCCATGCTGCCTTATGAAGAATCACGACAATCATCTATCCCCTCTGTTCCCATCAAACAATCACCTCTTAAGCACTCTGGCAAAACTCTGAAGGCTGTTTCCATAGCAATGGATGTGTCACTAATGCAACAATAGTGTGCTTACTAGGTTGACATCTTCCATCTATGCCACCTTGATTATTTTCATAAATCTCAGTATTGCAACTAAAATTCTGCCAGAGCGTCCTATATGATTAACATTTTACATTCCTTCCTTTAGAGGGCATCTTATATACACAGACCTCTGTATCAGTAAACTAACCAGTTTAACACACTTACTTTTTAAGTGAAATGCAATAAACTGCAAGCTGTTCCACTGCTGCCTGCCCTGCACCCATGTCACGGATCATCTCTTCAACCTCAGGACGTTGGCCGTGTAATAACGTCTCAATCCTGGAAAGTAGGTAAGAAAGCACATGAGCAAAGAAAGCCATGTTGCACAAAATACAGAACAGTAAACTTTGCAAAGGATCCCAATCCCCCACCTTCCAGTGACCTCAAAGTTAGCTTAGCTCATCATAATGGGGGCATACTGAAGCAGTACTGAAAGTTACAAATAAGGAGTAATGTCTCCTGCAATTGTTCAATATGTGATTTCTCTTACTCAAATAAAAATCAGCAAGTAGTTCTCAAAGAAATCACAGATTTTGAAAAACTAGTAAACTGAGGACCAAATATTATTATCATTACATTATATATTATTTAGAATGGCCTACTTTTAATTGTTATATTATATATTATTTTGAATGGCATACTTTTATTTGTTATTCCCAAGCAGAGCAGTCCCACAGAATCAGTGTTGTCTTATCATTCATCAGTAGATTCAATGGGTCAACTCTAATTAGGACAATCTGTTTCCCTTTACTGATGTTGACAATGAATGGCAAGTTGAATAATCAAAATGAATGGAGAGTTAAGCTGAAATTCCTAACAAGGTTTGGGAATATTCATGCTCAAAAAATCCTCTCCATTATAGAAAGTTACTTTGCTATGACAGTGAATAAAAAAAATCTTAGCCTGGAAAATGAATAAAACCATGACTATTTGATTGATATAGCACAGGAAGTTTTACTATACAATGTGGTTGATGGAGCCATACATTTCTGAAAAACAGTAGGGTGAAGTGTCTGAAGCAAAATTAGCTCATCATAATGGGGGTGACCTTGTGAATCCATCTAGTCTAGCAATGGCGAACCTATGGCATGTGTGCCACAGCTGGCATGCAGAGCCCTCTCTGTAGGCATGTGAGCCATAAGTTGCCATTGAGAAATACTTAACTCATCCTCCAATCCTGGATTTTGGGAAGAATTCTTAGGGAGGGAGGGAGAGCCAAGATGGCAATGGCAACAGCTGCCACACACACACACGTAAATACGCACACACACATAAATACACACACACATGCCCAGACACCAGGCATGGGAACACCCGGCTCCTGCTGCCTGTGCCTTCAAGGACTTCAGCCTGAGGCGGAGTGGGGAGTGTCCCAGGCAGGTGCTGGAGGTTGTGAGGCTGGAGGAATGGGACTCTTTGGGATGGTCATGTGTTGCAGTTTGGGCACTCAGGCTCAAAAAGATTCGCCATCACTGATCTAGTCTAAATCTGACTGATACAGATAATCCTCAGCTAGAACATTGCTAAGTCTCTGCCTGAACACCTCCAGTGAGGAATAGCCTACCACCCAACTAAGGCAGCAATCCCGATCTTTCAATCAGGATATTTTTCTCTTGTAAGTACTCTTCTGTAACTTAAGCCCATTAATGTAGCTCCACCCTCTCAGGAAGCATGTTAGAGTTTTGGCAGCATTGGAAGGGTTCTTCCATAAATCTATCCCTTGCCTACATTTTCTCTTCTGTAAATACACCCAGTTCATTCAACCTTTCTTCGCATGACCTGTTTCCCACAGTGATGTTCTTAGCTGTTCTTCTAATTTAGTCTGTTTCCTTCATCTTAAAACACTCTAGACACAGTTTGACTAATTTAGATTAAAAGAGAATCCTGGTCTTTCCAAGGATGCCTAAGCAGCTTTACTTGACAAGTGAGCTCTAGAGTATGATTTACTCAACATGAAAGTGTGCAGACAACTGCACCCCTAAGTGAAAATGCTATCACTTTTAAGAATGAACCCACCTACACACACCCCTTTTGCTATATCATTAGCAGCTGAAAGACATTTGCTTAACACTGAGAACATATATAGGAACTGAGCCAATTAAGTATGTAGAGAAGGCTGGGAAAAATTGATCAGAATTCTACTGGTGTTTGCATTAAGGTATGTAGAACTTGCCAACTGCTGAGGTGTCAGCTCATGTGCCCAATAGCACAATCCAGATTCCCCAAGCACCTCAACAATTAGTTGTAACTGGCCTTAAAAAGTATGCGAACATTACATGAACAAGTACAGGATTCCGGCTGCACATTTTAGTTAAATTAATGGCTTATCAGAAGCTAACAATTTTAGTGTAAAGTATAGAATGAGTTTTGGAGTTGCTAAAGGGAGTTGCTACCTAGCTTTTTTGTTTCTTTCCTAAACTCCTACAGTGTCAAAAAGCTGCTCAATGCATGATTGCCAGCAAGCAGGAAATGGATATATTAAAGTCAAATAGCGTTATATTAAGATTTAAGTGTGACAATGTGGGCCTGTGGACAGGTAGAATTTGTATCACTCTAAACTGAATTTAGTCTCCCCACAGGCTGCTAATCTTCCCACTCACGAGTACATCCTTTAAGGAAAGACTAAGCTAAGTTGTTCTGACAGTAATGGGTTGCAACTTTTGCCATTATTAGATTATGAAGAAAAACTGCAACCTTTTCTTCCAAATTTATACCTTGTAAAATGCGATTTTATACTACTATACTTATTTGGAAGATTAAGTCATTGAATTTAGTAAAATATATCCCACTCATCATTCAAGGGCTATCAAGCAAGGCAGGAAGATATGATGATTTCACCAAAGCCTTCTAGGAATCTGTTGTGTCTTCTACATTATCTTATTTTTGTAACATTCAATTTCCTTTTTTATGTAAAAGTCAGGTTAGGAGATTGCGAATTTGAGCTTCATGTATGATGGAAACAATTTTTGTGTAGGTGCCCTGAAGGTTATAGTAATCTAGGTTATTTTAAGAGTGGGAGCAATAATGCAGGTACATCATCCTTTCATGTATACATAGCTAACTACGTGCTGTCAAGTCAGAACAGGTAATAGGGCTTTCAGAGTAAGATATTTAAGAAGTGGTTTTTACCAATTCCACTTCCCAGTGAGTTTCTGTGGCTAGGTGGGGATTCAAACTCTGGTCTCCAGGACATTAGTCCATCACCCTATCCACTACACTAGAGGTCCCCAGCCCCCGGTCCATGGCCCAGTGCCAATCTGTGGCCTGAGCTGGACTGCAAAGACAGACCTCCCCCCACCCCCTGCACGCACTCCCCCCACAGCCCCTTTGTGCATGCGTGCACACACCAGCGCCCATACGACCGCTCCCCCACCCTTTTGTACATGTGCCCACGCACCCGCACGAGCACTGCATCAGTTTGCGCATGCGCACAAGCGCCCCACCCATGACCGCCACACCACCATTTGCATATGCACATGAGCTCGCCCGCACGAGCACCCTCCTGCATGCGTGCACCCATGCTCCTTCGTGCATGCACGTGAGCGTGAGGCGGTGCCCCACCTTCCCCAGCCAGTTCGTAGGATTAAAAATGTTGGGGACCCCTGCACTGCACCACACTGGGTTTACAATAAAATATAGATGGATATGTAAAGTTGTCCATGGGAAATTCTTAATATGTCTGCTAAAACTATTTGAGAAATACTTAGCACCCCTTTATAAACATAAAAGCCATACATTTTCATATGGTCATTCTGAATCTTTAGAATTCAAATAGCTCTTTAAAAGGGCAACCTTACGCATGCTTACTCAAATTTTAGTCCTACGATATCTGACATTTGAATTTTGTCTTAGGTAATTTCACACTTCTAGGGCATTATGTTTATTCTCAGAGAAGTGACACAACAAAACTTATAATTCTTACTTCTCCACAGTTTTCAGCTTATTTCTCAGTCTTCGAGCCTCCTCTTTTGCACTCTTGGCATCCTCCAGCTCCTGTTCCAGGAATTTCATTTGTTTCTGAGAAGAGACACATCATCAGTGCATGTAGAAGGCAGCTCCATGGAAGCAAGGCTTCAAGCCCTCTCTAAAGCCCTTGCTACCTCAACTGCCTACAACTGTTTAGATGTCTGGAATATACAACATCTCTGCAACATCTCTGGTCATGATTCTTTTGAACAATGGCAGAAATGAGTAAAGCAAAAGAAGCATTATAGCTCAAGGAGATAACATTTCCTCCCTAAATTCTTCTGGGTCCCGCTTCTACAAATCCTCAAACAAAAACTGGTTGAAATCTTCTTGTATAGTATAGGTTAAAACCAGACTTAGGCCCTTGAATTAAAGGGGATTTGGTTAGCCATATGTTCCATGAATTCAATGAATGCACTCTAGGTGCGAGTTACTACTCTAAGCAACAGGATTGCAGAAATTGCTACAAAAGAAAAATTAAGGAGTTGCTGTATGAACAATTTGGGGCAGTGCATATATTAGCTGCAGATGTCATCTCATGCAAGTGTGATCTAATCACATAAAGAGCACAATGTGGTGGAAACACATCCAGCATTATAGCTCTCCTTTGTAATATTTTGAAGATGTTTCCTTCCTGCAGTTTAAAGTGCTTGCATGAATAGACCACCGCTGAAAACTTAACACTGTTTCCTGATACAAAAATCAATTTGCAGAGCTCATTTTTTTGGATGACAACCTTCTCAGCTATGCTGTTTCCAGACTACACTGAAATGTCCAGTTTTGTTGAACCTAGAATAACTCATATGGGATGAACACAGTGGCCAGAATCCTATGGCAATTTACGCTTGTATAAGAGAATCTGCACAGGTCTTGGTGGCAAATTGTTGTTTATTAATGAGGTGTTAGTTGCACTCCGGCAGGCTCATTGATTTCAGCATACCTCAGTGACAAGTGGCAATTTGCCTCCAAGACTTACATGATTTCCCTTATATAAGCATGGATTGCCAATAGAACTCTGGCCAATCCATCATTTATCACATTTACTGTGAGGAGTCTAGAGTCACAGATGCCTCGGCTGTTGTGCTGCTGCCCTCCAACCAGGGATCCAAGGCTCTCATCCCAACTGCTGCCCAGACTACCTCACTCACCCAGCTGGTCATAGAGGCTTCATAGGGTGCTGCTGCCCTGGAGCCTGGCTCTTCCCAAGAGACAAGGACACAGACCAAAGCCATGTCTGTCCTCGGGAGGCAGAAACCCAGTAGGAGGCAAAGAGGGAGGAGAACAGCTGACAGTCAAAGGTGGTCAAGGAACTCTGCAAGGGAGAGAGGCAGCCACCACACAGCAAAGAGAAAAAAAAACCCAGGAGGGGAAGACAGACACCTCTGTGTAGGGGGAAGAAGAAGTCACCTCCAAGGGAATGAGGGAACCCAAAGGGGGGAGATAAATATCCCTGCACTGGGTGGGGGGAATAATTCCTAGCGCAAAACCCTGGGGAGCAGATGGGTCAGGAGGAAGAGAAAAACCTTCAGTGGATGAAGACTGGGGAGTTTGAGAAAGAGGACGCCCAAGGTGAATGAGACTATATTTATAAAGATGATCCCTGGTGAAGGATCTGGGTACAACTGACGATTCCCAAGGGGGAGGCTGCTAAATACAAATACTGACTACCTTCACGGCCTTCCTCTTGGGGTGAGAAAGAAAGAAGAGAAGGAACAGGAAAAAGGAACTTGACCCAACACCCTCGAAGAGTAGACACTGGCAGAGAAGCCCTTGAAATCACCAATGTCAAGAGATGGGGAGGCAAGCTGTATCAGACAAAGAACCCTGGCATACATGCCCTCAATATGGGCATTCAACCTCTCACTCCTGGGGGGGGGGAACATGTAGGAGGTAGAAACACTGGAAATTGGACTGTCCCAGATGAGTGGATGGAGGACTCAATGAGAGGAACTGCACTTCCCTGAAAGACTTTGACTCTCCCAGTAAGGGGAACCGAAGGGTTACAAACTTTTGAAGAGAAGGTGGGACTAGCGAATGGAACTACACTTGTCCCTTCCACAATGCTGGGGGGTTAGAGGCGCCAGTCTAGTTCAAAATCTGTGTATAACTCTTCTGTCCCCCAAAACATAACTACAAAGCATAAACAATTGATTAACACGCAGAGAGACACACATATACAGACAGCTAAAGGACAGAAAAAGGCTCTATCAGAGGGGGAAAACAGAGGTGTGATCTCTCACCCCGCAATGGAGCAACATGCTGTGACTTCACCCAACCCACATCAGCTCCTGACATGCCCCAACACCCTCCGTGGCCACCATGTGGAGCTGCCATGCCAGGAGAGGGGGCCAGCTGGGCCACTGCCATCAGATCAGTAAGTCCAAAACACACTATTCTCAGGACACTTCCTTGAGATAAATAGCACTACAGTATTTACTGTTTACTTATTTAGTGAAATATTTATTTAAAAAATATATCTGTCTATAACCCAAACTGAACTGCTCAAACCCATGCAATTCAATGGAGAAGTATGGTACTCGGACTCACTGTATAAGCATTTATTATCTATTTCTCCAATTCAAGTTCTAATAAACCCCTTTGAGTGTTTTCCTGAGCATACTGTTTCTACAGAGCAAAAGATGAAGGTGTACCGGTCCCATCAAATTGGCTGTGGCTGGTGGGGCTCATGTCAGTACACTTCTGATTTTTCAGCAAAGACTATTTAGCACCAACTTCAAAGCCTACTGCCTATTTTCCCTGGCTTTGAAGAAAGGAGCAATGCTGCTTGATCAGATGTCAGAAGATGATTTGTTGAGTCCTAGGATATCCACAAGATGTTAAGCTGTACCAGGTTCAAAGGTAAACAATTCTACATGTAATTTTCAAGATAACTGCTTCACTACATCTCCTAATAATAAACTAAATTCCTAAAATGCTGTCATTCTGAGGAGGAAAGAAACTGGGAAGGTTACCTTTTTTGGACTGCAACTCTCAAAATCACCCACCCAACATGGCCACTGACCTTGCTGACATAGATGACATTCTTGTCTCTATTCATCCTCCTCTATTATCATTGTTTCCATTTTATCACTTGTATATATTCAAATAGCTACTAAAATCTCCTCAGTAGCATTTAATAAATGCATATCTCCCTAACATATGTAAGGCCAGACCATAAGGCACATGGCAGAGGCAAAACTATCCAATTTAATTCATGAATGAGATTAGAAACAGGTTTGGAAACAGTCTGAGTTATTTTGAGTGCATTTTAGACACAAGGCAAGATTTTAAGCCTCAGAGTGAAGAGGTGTACAAAGTACATATGCTGTCTCGAGCTAAACAGACCATGTGTGAGTATATAAAACTAGATAATCAAGTCCCAGTGTGAGCAGGGCTTGCTTGATTAGGAAAAGCACTAAATAAAGTACATATCACAGCAACATCCAATGTCATACAAGAAAAAAGAATATGAAAAACAAGAAAGAGACAGTGTGAATGATTTTGAATGATGCAGTTATCAGAGGGACAGCTGTGTTAGTCTGTTTCAGCGAGAACAAAAATAAACATACCGGCGCACCTTTAATACGAAGACATTTTTCCCATTGTGGACTATAATCCACTTCTTCAGACACATGGAATACAACTGATGTAAGAATTTTGCCAAATCACTGTTTGGTTTTATGTAAGACTTCAGGGCCCCTTCATGGATTGCTGCCTTGTCCCGGGGAAGGGGCTTGAGTAATTCAGAGAAGCTACGGGCTATGCCGTGCAGAGACACCCAAGACAGACAGGTCATAGTGGAGAGTTCCGACTAAACGCGATCCACCAGGAGCAGGAACGGCAAGCCACTCCAGTATCTTTGCCAAGAAAACCCCATGAACAGAAACAAAAGGCTAAAAGATATGACGCTGGAAGATGGGCCCCTCAGGTCGGAAGGCATCCAACATGCTACTGAGGAAGAGCGGAGGACAAGGACAAGTACTCCAGAGCTAATGAAGCGATTGGGCCAAAGCCGAAAGGATGCTCAGCTGCGGACATGCCTGGAAGTCTGATGCTTCAAAGAAAATTACAGTGGACCCTCGACCTAAGGAATTAATCCGTATTGGAATGGTGTTCGTAGGTCGAAAAGTCCGTAGATCAAAAATGCATTTCCCATAGGAATGCACTGAAAACCATTTAATCCGTAACCGGCCCAAGGAACACACACGCACACGCACACGCACACACACACGCACACGAAAATAAACAGAACTTACCTTTTCAAAGCCTTCCAGGGGTTCCCCGCCATTGCTGCTGCCCAGGGCCTCAGAGGGCTTCCCTGCCACTGCCGGAGGCCTCTCCGAGGTCCCCCGCCCCTGCCAACGCAGTCCTTCCA